ACTAGCTGCTTTTTGTTCCTTGGATTTTTTTTTCACCCTTCGGGATAATTATATTCTTTCGTGCTTTTTATTATTGTGCTGCTCAGGACCTCCTAGCCTTCTGCACTGGGTCTTTATTTAAGAGAACGCTCCCCGCCTCTGCTCTCCACACTAAACCGTGCTCATTAGGTTTCTTAATCCTCCATAATTTGCTTTCATGAAATCTTATGCCTTTGAGACGTTGGGTTCTATGAGCCCATTTCCTTACAGCTGTTGCTTGCATAGCAATTCCAAGAAGCGCAGCAAGCACTAAATATGAGCTTCCTGGTTTTCCATAGAAAACTCTGCTTGGAATGTTTATGGGCCATGAAACTCTACCTTTTAACTTAGTATTTCATTTTTCACCCAAACATTGCCTGGGATGTTTAAAACTACAGCATAAGCCCATAGGCAGTCTTCAGCAGAGAGTTATTAATTTGTTTGCCTCAGAATCTTAGATCGAAAATAACAATATCCCACTGAATTGCTAATTGGTAAATTCAAACTATATCTTTGCATTATCCTTAGGATTTAGAAAAAGAATAAAACCTACGTGTTTTTACAGTTGTTCCTCAAGATCTTGGATGACACAACGTCCTACAACCTCACTGTCAACCTGGGTCTTTTCAACTACTAGGTTTTCTCCATTCTATTCACTGATACTTCTAAGGGGTCGATTCAGAATGGTCACAAAAGCACATGCTTCCCATTTTATTGCTAACTCTCTAGGAGCCTTTGTATACTAGTTGCTTTGGTTTGTGGCCTGAAAGAGTTAATGAATTTCCCAAAGGTGCCAAGCTTTACTCCGACATAGCTCACACTTGAACTCAGTCCACACTGGTTTGTGAGCCTCCCCATCCAGCTGACAGAAAGCAAAGCCAGAGTTCTTTATTTAATTGGTTTGCATCCACGCGCTGACCTCCAGGGCTCTGTTTATATAGCCTATCATGCAAAATGCTCCACAGCTCCCCACCTTTCAAAAGCCTGTTTCTCCTGAGATTTGATATATGGCTTTCATGTTTGGTCACTGCATTAAGCTCAACGCCCTGCTCCCTCCAGCATCAACTAACTCCCCTGCTTGGGTGGCGGGGTGACAGGCGCAGCTTCTTGTTTCTTCTGAACATAAAAGAAAGTCTGTTTTACTCTCTTAGTAAGAGCTCCAAGTCTGCAAGCGGAGATATCAACTAGGAACTCGTGTTAACATAAAAACTTTCAAGTTTCTTTTGAAGAAAAGAAGGGCCAGCTCACTCTTCCCAACTGGCAAAGCCAAACTTCAGGTCACTGAGTTGTAGAGCAACGTGTTTTTAAATCAGTGTGAAATTCCATATGTAGAAATCACAGAGAGAACTCACGGGAGCTCAGCTCTCATCCAGATTTATCATGAGGCCGGGCACTTCTGTGAGTCTCAGATCAGAAGGAAGTCAGTGCCTCTGCTCCGGCTACAGGGTTTCCTCATTAGAAGACTTACCAGAAGCAGAATTGCAGTCTACATCTGAATGTGAACATGGAAATGACAAAAACCCCTGGTTCTTAATCCATGTTTGGCCCAAATGTCTACAACAGGTACAAATCCTGAAAACTTAGCTGCCCCCACTCAGTAGGGCAAAACAATCTGCAATTGTCAGATTTTAAATACCACATAAAATGTACTGTCCCTTAAAATATTGTGAGGAGAAAAAGCAAAACTAATGGCAAATTAATAATAATAGTAAAATTTAGATGACAGTTATGTGGTGCTCTTTGAGGAATACTATCCCCCCTACTTTTAAGTGTGGTTGGAATTTTCAGTATAAGAATTTTAATTTTAGGAGCTGGAGAAATGGCTTGGTGGTTGAGCATTTACTACCCTTGCAAAGAACCCATGTTTGGGTCCCAGCACCTACACAGCAGCTCTCAACTGCCTGCAACTCAAATTCTGTAAGCCCCATCACCCTCTTCTGTCCTCTGCCGGAAATGCACACATATGGTGTACATAATCTCCTACAGGCACACATATACATAAATTAAGTAGATTCTTAATTTAAAGAAATTAATTTAAGAAGCTAAGAAGATGGTTCCAACAGTAAAGTTCTTGCCTTACAAACATGAAGACTCGAGTTTGATCTCCAGAACTCTTGTCTTAAAAAAAAAAAAAAAGCCAGGCATGGTGGTGTATACCTGTAGTCACATCACAGAAGTCTAGACGTAGGGAGAACAGGATCCTTGAAATTGTTGGACATCAATCTAGCTTTCATGGCAAGCTCTCAGCCAGAGAAATGAGGCTAGACACAGTGGTGTTTGACTTTACTCCAGCAAAGTTTTCCCCTGGCCTGCACGCAAGCACACACACTCATACACACTTATATACACACACACTCTCACACACTCATACACACACACACACACACACTACATGTTTAAAAATTCACAGAAGGTTGTTAGTAGGCTCTCTTTTTATTAAAAAAATAGAGTAATAAAGTAATAAGCAAAACTTGGTTGTTTCCTTGGTTGATCATTTGATGTGTACTCAACAACTGACTTTTTTAAACTATGTGATGGCAATGAAAACCTTCCTTCCTCATAAATCTTACTCAACAGCCCGAAATTCATCTGTACAAACTACACATGTTGTATAGCAAGCTCAATTCATAAACTGGATACTTTGCTTAACAAACAATATGTGTGTGTGTGAAAAAGATGTAAGCATACATATACATATACATATGCTTTAGAATCCTTTCCTTTATGGCTAGTCATTGACCATCATATTTAATCTTTAGTTTTATTAAGAGCAGCACCATTCTCCACTTAAAGATCTTATTTTGTCAAAATATAACATTAGACAATTCTGTATTCTATGAACAATGAAAAATCTGAACCTATTAAAGTAGCACTTTCAATTGTTCCAATGTGTTATCGTATTCATAACCAAAATTTGCATGATTAAAATACCAACGAATTAACCCCATGTTTCCTTTGCCTCATTCCTCATCAATGGTAAGCTTGGAGCTCAGAAGGGAAAAAATGACTTATTTCTTAATTTGAAAATGTCTAAATTTACTCCATAGTTGAATGTAAAATCAAAGCACAAATAAACTTTTTGTTTGTTTGTTTGCTTGTTTGTTTTTCGAGACAGGGTTTCTCTGTGGCTTTGGAGGCTGTCCTGGAACTAGCTCTTGTAGACCAGGCTGGCCTCGAACTCACAGAGATCCACCTGCCTCTGCCTCCCAAGTGCTGGGATTAAAGGCGTGCGCCACCAACGCCCAGCACAAATAAACTTTTAATTCATGTTATTTCCCATAAGTCCTTATGCATCTCTAACCATATGTTTCAAAGACATGTGATTGTTGTCTAATATAGGCTTTCAAAAGAAAAAACAGATTGAAGAAAAGAGCTGTGGACAAAAAGTCTTAGGTCAGAAGAGTGAAATATGAGCCTGTACAGATGTTATAGCCATTTCCATGATAAACACTAGCCTTGTATGCATGAATTTAGCAGCATGCTTTAATTTGGATTAAAAATCTTACCATAAATTACCTGGCTTTGACAATCACAGTCTAATATTTCAGTTTTGTGCACTATTCCCAGTTTTCACTTCCAAAATGAAACTATCGAACGATTTCATTTTTAAAAGCCAGGTAGCTTAACACCAGCTTGTCTGGTTTTGTTGTTGTTGTTGTTAGTTTGCTTGTTTTTTAGAGAACTATACTACATAACAAATAAGCAACAGTTATTATCTTATTACTTGATGACTGGCTGGCAGAGAAATTTCCAAAGCATGTAGATTTTGTGTAAAGAATTTACTCTCCATCAATTTATTTATTATTATACTTAGAGATTTCAGTCATTAAATTTGTTTCATTCTGTTTGAGTCAATAAAGAGTCAAATAGTTGTTTCAATGTCATTTCATAGTTAGCCTCCATATTGTTAATATTTTGTGTTTGTTTTTTTTAACCAAAAATATTTACCCGTAACATCAGCGGCACATGTGATTGAGAAGCCCAGAACACTCTGATTAGAAACAGTGGTGGAATCCTGGTATTTAAATTGGGTGAAATGGCCAGGTCAGATCTACAGACTTCATCAGATAAGATGAGAGCCCCTCCAAACTAGAGAAATTCATAAAGGTGCACCCACAAGGACAACCAAGCTCACAAGAAAGGAAGGCAGGCTAGCTCTGTGACACTTGTCAAGTCACTGGTTCCTCTGTGCTCAACAAGCAAACACATTTTAGACTAAGTTGCAGTGACTTTGAAATTCAATAACTTATGTAATTTTTCCCTGCAAATTATTATCTCTTAGAATTGAAAACTAATGTTGACATATTAACAGTCCATCAAAGGGCCTAATTCCTTGGTACCTAATATGAGACAGCTTTTGCACTTTGGTTGCAAACACTACCAGGAACACTGAGTACACAGATCTCAGCAAGAGGTAACAGATACAGCCAATCCCAAGGATGATGCAACTACATCCACGCTTAATCATAAGAAACCATCAAATGTGACTGATAATGCTGCTGTAAAATGCAAATTCTGTCTCAATAGGTGCAAAACAATAGTTTAAGGTGATTCTAATTTGCTATCAGTCCCCCCCAATAAAACACAAAAAAAGCCTGTCACAGACAAGTTTCCATCTCTGTTATGTACACCCCCCAAATCATTTGTAGAGACTCTTCAAATATTTAAGATGTTTTGTATATTTGCAAAGTAATATTCTGTTGTGAGCAATAAGCATGTGCTACATCCACTGCGGTTTCTAAAGGGGAAGTCTGCAGACACAGAGCATTTAATACCTATTTTGAAACCATGAAAGATCCTAACATGATCTCAAATTATGATTGGAAGCATCCCAGAGCCTTGCTTTGAGGTGGGGCTCATGTCAGAAGAGAGATTGCTCAGCCATTTAAAATCAAAATGGCTCTTGATATAGTGAATTATTTTTCAGACAATAATGTAAGAAAAGAAAAGCATTCAGAATAACATTATTAATGTGAACATACCTGAACCAGAGTCAAATTTGGTTTCTGACCTGCAAAACAACAAAAAAATTAGTATTATAATTGTATAAAGGTCTGAGTTGGGGAGGTGCAGTAATTATAGATTTCTCTATAATGATCAAGAAATAAAATCATTTTCTTAACATAAAGCTGGATTTATGTCAACCATTTCAATTGAATGCCTGCATTAATTCAAATTACACAGTAAGAAAAAAATTACTCTCAAAGTTAGCTTTTCAGAGAAGGGATTTTATTTTTCAAAATATCCAAACTTTCTTCAATAGTATTATGGAATGATAAAGAAAAAATCCAATCTATAATTATGCCTTTTCCCTTATTATTAAAGATGTTCAATTACTTCGCAGCAAGTAGACCCTTAGCGCACAACAAGTGAACTGAGTAACCCCGTACACTTAATAAGCAGGAAGGAGAAACGGTTCCTTGTGGGAACATTATGTTTCAGATACAGGTTAACACTGGCTGTAAATCCAGAAGCCTTTGAAGCCGTTGGTCCGGCTGTGGGAAACTGCTGTTGGTAATTACTCTCAAGATGCCTCTGATGGGCTGTCAAGCAGAATTAACCCCGTGACTGGGCCTATCCACACAGGCCACTATAAGACAGCATTGTCTATATCTAGCTCTCAAACCAATTAGTGGGCATGCTCACTCGGATTTATATCACACATTAACAATCAACTGCATATATGTTCACAGCTGCCACAGCCAGATACAAGAACCAAGCAGCGGGGGTCCTGTCAGAGATGTTACGTTGACAGAGGAGATTTTTCCCCTCTGTGGAAATGCAGTTAACTAACTGGGAAAGGGGAGCTCTTTGAAATTATGCCAGAGTACTGAAACATTTTAGAAGGAGTGGCTTGTCTCACTTAAACTAGCTTCAAGAGAACTCATCAGAGAACAAAGGGGGAAATAAGGGACTTCTTTGGTCACAAAAATTCATTTTCTCAAGTACTCTCAAATTTCACTTTATTTCTAAACAAAATCAACACTTTCCATACACATACTATATGTAAGCATATACGGTTATACATACACAGATAACAGTGTGTCTGTCTGTATGCATGTTTGTATGTATGTCTGAATGTATGTATACATGAACGTATGAATGTATGTATGTCTGTATGTATGTATGTATGTATGTATGTAACCACAGATCTGGTTTTGTGAGGGTTTTCTCTGTGTGGTGCTATGAATTGAATCTAGGGGCTCACATATGATAGATGAGTACTCTGCCCCTTAGCTCTACCCCTAGTTCAACCAATTACAATTTTTAGCAACCGCCTCTAGAATGTAGACCCAGCTTCCCCCCGAAACACAACCCTCATCTCTGTCCTTCCCTTCTATGCCCAACTCCCATTCCCGGTCAAAGTCAAGTCACTCTTTGAGACCCATGACTCTGGAATGCCTCGCTTCATGATTGCACCATCCCCGCTGACAACTCAAAGTCTCTTATGGGTCACTCTGCTGGCTTCCTTATCTACTTCCTCTCTCGACCTCAGTTATGTCTTATTAATCTTTGTAGCCACAGCACTTAAATATACCTGGTGCATGTACCCAGATGTTTCTTAAGAGAAACTACAATGACAAAGGCCTTGAGAGATATGAAAAATGATGTAAAAAAAACTTTACAAAAATCTTACCTTGTCCTGAGACAGCTGGTCAGTATGTAATACACACCCATAAAATGAATATAAAATATTTTTACAAACCAACTAGTCCCCCAGGCATCAATTAAAAAGTAGAAAACATTTTCATAATCCTCAGACATAGTATTAAACATTTAAAAATACATTGTGAACAATTAAAGCATGATCATAAAATTAATATGGTCAGATTTGGGGCTAGGGGAAGTTGGTCCTATGACACCTGTTCATTCAAATTCCTGACATTTTACACACTCACATAACCAGAGACAGAGTCCATTGTGCCATACTGAATTCTAGCATCTGCTATAATAATATATTCATCAGTGCTCTTTGAGAACACGAGTAAAATAGGGGCAGGAACAAGTGGTCAACAGGGGTGGCAGAAGGGGGTCCAAGGCATTCAGTGACATTCCAAGCACATTCCTTGTAGGCTTAGTTCTAGTAGTAGCTATACTAGATACTAGAACACACACACAAAAGGCACAAAGCAGGGCACAAAATGGATAACATCACAGTGTTTCCAAAGACACCCATTCTATTCCTAAAGTCAAAATGATCGCCTCAGTTCCTTCGGTAATCACCAATGGAAGGTGTTTGGTGCTGTTACTGCTTTCCAACATACATGCACGCCTTTGTATTTTCCAAAGTTTTAAATATGCACATGGCCACGTAGGTGAAATATTATTTCTGCACCATTCAGCACCTCTCTTGTGGCTCATTGTGGCCATGTGACCTAATTATCTTGCACCAGGCTCCATCTCTTAAAGATTCACAACATCACACAGGGGACCAATGTTCCCGATCATGAACTTTTAGTGGGCAAATCACATCCAGGCTTACACTAGCATTTACAAATGTGAATTGGAAGCCAGAAAAGGTGACAGTGGGAGAATCGATTATCATTACAATTGTTTAAATATATAACATATACGATATTTTTATAGAAAAATGGCAGGTTTTCAAGAGAGGGTAGACTTGCTCACTGGTTAGAGTTATGTGCTCCTGGAGAAATAGACACTGTCATTTTCTATTTACACAGAACATTCGATGTAAGTTGGTGGCGCACGCCTTTAATCCCAGCACTTGGGAGGCAGAGGCAGGTGGATCTCTGTGAGTTCGAGGCCAGCCTGGTCTACAAAGCGAGTTCCAGGACAGCCTCCAAAACAATACAGAGAAACCCTGTCTCGAAAAACCAAAAAAAAAAAAAAAAAAAAAGAATTAAAGCAGAGGATGTAGTCTGTTTGGTGAAACACTCACCTAGTGGGCAGTAAGATCTGAATTTCATCCCTAACACTGTATGAACTGGTTGTGGCGACACAAGACTTGGGAGGTTGAAGCAGGAGGACTAAGGAGGTCAAGGCCTTCCTCAGCTATATAGAAAGTTCTAGGCCATGCTGAGCTACATGAAAGCCTGACAGTACAGAATAAGAGGAGGGAGGAGGGGAAAAGGTAGGGAAGACCAAGAGAAACTGTAGTGTTTCAGGGCAGAAATTGTAATATCTCAGGATCCTATCTACTAGTCTCAGAATTTCTCTCTGCTCCTAGAAGTAATGCAAAGGCCTTTCTCAGACAGAACATTAAATAAGAGCAGTGGGCATTCATGTGTCCTTTCAAGCAATGCAACTACAGTATGCTTTCTCTACTTGGGATATTCCCATCCTCCCTGCTACCTAACCCCAGAAACCTTCTGCACATATTAGCTTCATAAATAGTTTTCTGAAAAAAAAAATTACCAGACTGACCCTTTGACTGCCCCCAGCACTGCCACACCTTCCTGGCACAAAAAGTTATAATTCTACAATGTATTTGTTCATATGAAGTTTCCTTATACTGTATCTTGGTGGGGTTTTTTTCCAAATACTTATTAATTACATATTAATTGTGAATTCCAGTAGGCTTTACTGTGACATTTCCACACACATGTGCATTGTTTTGTAATGATACCTAGAGTTCAGCAATGGAAGCAAACATTATTAATTGCCTACCTGAAAGCTAGTCTCTCCTTTCCCCAATAACAGAACTGCAGTTTCTGAAAGGGGTTAAGACATGCCCACTACAGTAATGATTTCTGTGTGTCCTTTATAAGTGACTCACAGAGAAGTAGCCCCTGAGGCCAGCTGAGTCCTGAGAGGTAAAGTCTGGTGGTGTGTGTTCTTGGAAAGATCATTCTCCATTAAAAAGAGGAGAAAGGTTATTGAGAGGGAAAGGCCTTCTCAGGCTCTCTGCACTTTCCTGCCTTCAAAGTCACTGCATGAAGACGCTAGCTCAGAGCTGCCACGGTGTCTTGCAACCCCGAGAGAAAGGCCAAGACAATCAAAGAGCTGCAGCTGGGTGCCTCAGTCCAGGTCAACTAAGTCAGAGGCATGCCTAGATGCATGAACATTGCTTTCATTTGGGAATTTCTATTCCAAAATCAAATACATCATGCTTCTTTTAAATCAGAGCACTAATACATTGTTCCTCATCTGTCCCTGTATTCAAAATTTGTATCTTGATAACAGTGCTACAGATATAGACAAGTCACAAAACACAGAAACAAAACCACAGTCAACTCAAACATTTACATACACATAGGCTACCACAACCAAAATCCAAGGAAATTCTGGAAAGCTGTTTTGTTTAATCAATCACAAGTGCCCAGAAACTTAGAAATCAAGATAATCATTAGTAAAACAGCAGCAAGAATTAAGCCAAACCACACTGAAAACAAGATGCACTTACAACCGCTGTGATGAACTATGCAGCTAACAACATATTGTGTTGAACATCTTTCTCCCCTACTTATGAAAATCAAATCTGTGGAAATAATGCTAAATGAAAACGTGCCAAAGTCTTAACATTTTGCAAATACTAGTCCCTCTGTGTATATGCTATGGTTACGCAGCTTGGTGTTCTTGTGGGGCCCTTAACAGTGGGAGTGGGGAGTCTCTGATTCTTTCATCTAGTCTGGGGACCCTCTTCCTCCTGCTAGGTTGTCTCATCCAGCCTTGATATGAGGTCTGTGCCTTGTCTTACTGTAACTTGCTGTGCTGTGTTTGGTTGACATCCCTGGGAGGCCTGTTCTTTTCTCAAGGGAAACAGAAGGAGTGACTCTGGGGGAGAGGGGAGGTGGGGTTGGTGAGAGGATTGGAGGGAGGGGAAACGGTGGTCATAACGTAACATGTGAGAGAAGAATAAAATTTTAAAAGGGCAAATCTTAAAAATGAATAAACCCTGTTCAAAAGATAAGCCTAAATTCATTACAAAACATTAATATCTGAGAAAACAAATCAAGACATAAAAAGAACGACAAAATTAAAGCAAGGAACAAACACACATAAAAGCTACTCGGAATCCGCATGCCATGGGAACACCCCGTGGGTATTTCA